GGGGGACGGGGAGGGACTCCCGGCCTGGCGGGAGAAATCAACTCCTCCGGCGAGCCGAGCGGCGGAGGGCGGGTTTGGGGTCCGGCCCGACCGGCCGGGCGCCTCGCGCCGAGGCCCAGCCCCGGGGTGCGGACCTCATCCCGACGCACGTTCGGTCCCCAGGCACCACACACTTGGGGTCCAGATGGAAGTGAAAAGGGAGGGGTTTTCTGACCCTCCAGAGCCCACGTCGGCGAAGCTGCGCTCGAGCAGGGGTGAGTAAGCCTGCGCCTGCCTGGGGGGTGGGGTGGGGGGCCTTCGGCACTTACTCAGTCCTTGTGATGTTACCGCCGACTGGGGTCTCGGTGGTCATGGCTCAAAGCGTAGTTGAAACAGGGGCGCATGCCTATCTTCGTCGCTCCTCTGGAGGCTGGGATTTGAGGATTGAGGTTTGAAGCCAGCGCTGGCCGAAAAGTTTGAGACTCATGTCCAATTAGCCAGCAAAAAGACAGAAGTGGAGCTGTGTGGCTCAAGTACTAGAGCGCCAGCCTGGAGTGGAAAAAGCTAGGATGGAGCATCCTCTATCCCGAGTTCAAGCCCTAATGCTGGCACATGCATACACACACAGTGAGCCCGATGCCAGTGGCTCACACCTGTAATCCTAGCTACTCAGGAGCCTGAGATCTGAGGGCTGTGGTTTGAAAACAGCCTAGAAGTCTATGAGACTCTTTAATTAACTACCAAAAAAAGCCAGAAGGAGAGCCGTGGCTCAAGTGGTAGAGTTCTAGCCTTGACCACAGACCCTGAGTTTGAGCCCCGGGACTGGCAGACACACACACAAGTCTGAACACCATCACCATGCCATAAAACTGCCCACTCCTACCCAAATGCTCCAGCAATCTGAAGCCAGAAGGAAAATGAGGAGGGACCTAAGGATGGTAAATGCCTGCCCAAGTTCTGAACAGACAGCACCCTCCCCCCCAAAAAAAAATAAGAGAGATCACGATTACTTAGGGAAAAGATTTATTGAATTAAGGGCAATTTCAGGGATTGGAGTTGGGGATGTGGGTTAGAGATTATTTCAGGAAGCCACACACTGGGACTATGTTAATATCACTAGCTTCTCCCACAGTCCAGCCATCCTGAGCTCAGTTTCCACCCGCTCCAGAGTGAGCAGAAGTGCTGGCTTCCATCCCTAAAGCTGTATTCTGACTCACACGTGTGTTTAGGAAAATGATCTCCCCCTCTCTGGACCCTTCTTGCTGCAGTTTCCTCTTTCTTCCCACCCCAGATATAATGAGAAGCATAACAGTCCTTTGACATTTTTTGCTAACAAAGAGAACAGAAAGAGCTGGGTGCAGGTGGCTCAAGCTTGTAACCCTTGCTGCTCAGAAGGCTGAGATCTGAGGATTGTGGTTCAAAGCCAGCCCAGGCAGGAAATTCTGAGAGATGCATGTCCAATTAGCCACAAAAACCAGGTGGAGTCGTGGCTCAAGTGGTAGAGCACAAGCCTTAAAACAAACAAGCTAAGGAACAATGCTCAGGACTTGAACCCTGAGTTCAAGCCCCAGTAACAGCACAAAATAAAATAGAGAGCAGGAAGGAAAAGATAGGTTCTGCTCCCCTTCATAGAAATGACTTCTCCCCTTCTCCATCAATCCCTTTTCTCTCCATTTTCTCAGCCTTAAAGCAATCCTGTGCCCAGCCACACAACACCCAAGCTGGTTGATACTTTCTTTAGGATCTGATTTACACCTCTCAGTTAGTCTTTTCTGCCTTCAGCCAAACTCTGGAGGCCTGGTTAGCCCGTCTTCCATCTCAGCCTCTCCTCAGTCTTCTCAGCCCTGTCAGCTTCCCCGACAAAGCTGGTCAGCCTGACTCAATGTAACCCAGCAGAGGGCGGGTTGAAAGAAGGAATGGGGTTTTGAGTGACAGCCACCAGAAACCCTGATTTTGGAAGAACTTCACCTAGCTGGCTTTCTGAAGGAGGGGCAGGAAGGGGTGGAGACAGGGGCAGTGACTGAGAGATGCGGTCTTTTAGTTCCTAAAAGAAAGCCAGGACAAGGTATGGCTTCTTCCTCCTATTCTCAAGAACCAGACTTTTCAGACTTCTCTGCACATAAGACCCTGACTATCTGGAAGAAATTTCCCTTTAAGAAAAAGCCCATGTAAGGCAGCCATCCTAGGTCCTTAATTCCACAGGACTATCACCTAAGGTGTCCAACTAAACTGCAGTCTAGCTGGGCACAGGTGGTTCGTGCCTGTAGTCCTAACTGCTTTAGAAGCTAAGATCACAGGATCTTTGTTCAAAGCCAGCCAGGGCAGGAAAGTCCATGAGACTCTTACCTCTAATGAACCACCAAAAAGCCAGAAGTAAAGATGTGGCTCAAGTGGTAGAGCACCAATCTTGTGTATAAAAGCTCAGGGATAATGTTCAGGGCCTGAACTGGCCCAAATGGGCACCAGAAAAAAAATTAATATACAAAAAGCATGGATTCAGGAGGAAGAAGGAATTGGGTACCGATAAGTGGTAATTAAAGGGATTGAGCCAAGCACCTGTAGCACATGCCTGTAATCCTGGCAACTCAAGAGGCCGAGACTTGAGTTCAAGAGGCTCTTTTACTTGCCATCAAAAGGCCAGAACTTGAGCTGTGTCTCAAGTAGTAAAGCACCAGCCTTGAGCAAAAAGCTTAGGGACAGAGCCCAGGCCCTGAGGTCAAGCCCCAGAACCAACACACATATAAAACGTGAGTCCTAATGTAAACTATATGCTCTGGGTGATGGTCATGTTCTTAAATCCATCAATTATATCATATGGACTATTCCAGTGAGGGTCATGGATAAGGAGTATGTGTATATATGGGGATGGAATACACTGGAAATCTCAGTATAGAGAAATTTCAAAATTGAGATAGGGAAAGCAGATTCTCTGCTCAGCTTTGCTATCAACCTAAAAATGGTCTAAAATAAACTTTTAAAATTCTTGTTGTGTGTATATATATGTATGTATATATTATGTATATATGTGTGTATATATATGTGTGTGTGTGTGTGTGTGTGTGTATATATATATATATATATATATATATATATATATTCTATCACTTGAACCACACTTTCATTTGCAGCATTTTGCTGGTTAATTGGCAATAAGAGTTTCATAGACTTTTCTGTCTGGGACAGTTTCGAACCAGGATCCTCAGATCTCTGCTTCTTGAGTAGCTAAGATTACAGGCTTGAGCTCCATTTTTAGAAAGGAAAAGCATATGAACCAGACTTCCTCCCCACCCCCACACTTTAGACAGAACACACAGTGACACGCAGGCATCTGCTTTATTCCCACAGAACTGCTTTTCATCCACACCTCTGGTTCCATCCGTATGGATGTAGAATCCAGACCATCAGGTCTGGGGTCCATGGATCAAGTGAAACCACCACCCCCAGCCCCCACCAAATGTCCACAATCCCCACTCGCCACAGCTTGAGGAGCGTGTGTCAGCCAGGGGCGCTCTGATTGCCTGAAAGAAAGAAGTTGACAGTGAAATGCACAAACCTTCATTTCCACTGTCTTCTCGCCTATGTCAACACACCAGCAAGGACCCTCATCTTTCTAGACTGAGGAAGAGAACCAGATGCAAAGGGTCTAGGGGGAAGACCATTCTGTAAGTCGTCATTCATGATGCAAGGCACTCTGAGCCAGGCTGCCAAGAAAACAACTTATCCAGACTCCAGAAGACTCATCTCCAGTTAACCAGCAAAAAGCCAGAAGTGGAAGTATGCCTCAAGTGGTAGAGAGGCAGTCTTGAGCAGAAAAAACTAAGCAAGAGCACAAGACCCTGTGTTCAAGCCCTAGTGCACACACACATCATCATCACCCACAGACTTACCTGTTTATGGATTCGACTCAACTCAGTGATTTTCCCATACTCCCCAACTGACCTCACCTCAGATGCTCAAAGCCACGACTCCAGTGTCACCCACCATTAGAAGTAGTGTGTGTGTGTGTGCACGTGCGTGCGCGCACACACGCACCAGTCCCAGGGCTTGAACTCAGGGCCTGGGCTCTGTCCCTTATTTTTTTTCTCCTCATGGTTGGTGCTCTACCACTTGAGCCACAGTTCCGCTTCTGGCTTATTTGGTGGCTAATTGAAGATAAGAGTCTTCATGGACTTTCCTGCCCAGACTGGCTTTGAACCATGATCTTCAGATCTCATTCTTCTAAGCAGTTAGATTTACAAGTGTGAGCCACTTGTGCCTGGCTAAAAAGGGCACTCCATACCTTTCTACAAGCGTCTTTTCCCAAGCCTTCCCCCCAAGCTCCCTCCTTCATTACAACTCACAGCGCAGAACTGCCACATCGTCCGAAGGGCCCAGGAGGCCATCACTGCTCCTGCACACTGAGGATCCGAAGTAGGATATTGTACACATTCTGTTCCATGTAGCCCTAGAGGCAACAGAAAAGACAGAAGAAGATGAAGAATATAAAATGAGAGCAGCATCGGTGTGGCTCACGCCTGTAGTCCTAGCTACTCAAGAGGCTGAGATCTGAGGATCATGGTTGAAAATCAGCTTCTGCAGGAATGTCTGTGAGATTCTTATCTTCAATTAACCAGCAAAAAACCAGAAGGGGAGGTGTGCCTCAAGTGGTAGAGTGCCAGACTTGAGCAAAACATTAAGAGACAGTGCAGTGCCCATGCTCTGATTTCAAGCCCCAGTACTGTTGTGTATACACACACACACACACACACACACACACACACACACACGGGGGCAGGGGGGGAGGAGACAGATTCTGTGACATAAAACACTATTCATTACTTATTCTCACTTATCACTTTAGCAAATTTTGTTTGATTTATTGGTGTGGTGAGGATAGAACCCAGGACTTCACATACACTAGGTGCAAGTCCTCAACCACTAAGCTATTTCCCAAGCTCTCACTTATTACTATTTAATTTTTTCTTGGTTGTTTTCCTATCTTCACTCTGTCTTTCTGTGTGTGTGCGCGTGTGCGCATGCACACACATGCACACTAATACTGGGATTTGAATTCAGGACCTCACACTTTTTTGTTGTTGTTGTTGTGGTCATGGGGCCTGAACTCTGGCCTGAGCACTGTCCCTGAGCTCTTCACCTCAAGGCTAGCACTCCACCACTTGAGCCACAGTGCCACTTCTGGCTTTTTCTGCTTGTGTGGTGCTAAGGAATGGAACCCAGGGCCTTGTGCCTGCAAGGCAAGCGCTCTACCACTGAGCCCCTTCCCAGCCCCGACCTCACACTCATGATTGGCTTCTTCACTTAAGGCTGTTGCTCTGTCACTTGAGACACACTTCCACTTTCAGTTTTTTTGCTAGCTAATTGGAGATAATAGTCTCACAGTCTTTCCTGCTGAAGCTGGATTTGTACCTTGATCCTCAGATCTCAGCCTCGTGAGTAGCTAGATTACAGGCGTGAGCCACCAGCTCCAAGCTTGGCTTTAAATCTTGATCCTTGGATCTCAGTCTGGAGTAGCTGGAGTGAGCTGCCTGCATCTGGCTACAGTGCTTACTTTTCAAGATTGCAAGGGCGGGAAAACAATGGAGGGGGTAACAATGTTCAAGAGGAAGTGTACTCATTACCTCACTCATGTAACTGTAACCCTCTGTATAGTATCTTTACAATAAAAAAATTAAAAAAAAAAAAGATTGCAAGGGCCACAAATGGAACACAGCTGCTGTTCTACTCTTTGCCCTTAAAGACCCAAGCCACCCATCTTTTCTTCCAACTCTTAGCCCTTTGGGGCTACCACTGGCTCAGGAAGAAACTAAGAAAGTTGAAGGGACAGAAAGAGCCGTTATGATGGGCCAGAGAATTGAAAAGGAGGCACAAACATCTCTCTCTACTTTCACACTCATGCCCAACCTCTCTGCATCTACCAATGACATCCAGAGACCTGGAACTGACCGGCATGGATAAAAAAGAAAAGGCAAAAAAAAAAAAGAAAAGAAAAGGCAAAAAGCTGGAAGTGCAGCTGTGGTTCAAATGATAGGGTGCTATCCTGGAGCAAAAAAGCGCAGAGACAGCACCCAGGCTCTGAGTTCAAGCCCAAGACTGGCATAGAAGAAAAGAGAAAAGAAAAAAAGGGGCTGGGAATATGGCTTATTGGTTGAGTGCTTGGCTAGCATGCATGAAGCCCTGGGTTCGATTCCTCAGTCCCACATAGAAAAAGCTGGAAGTAGTGCTGTGGCTCACATGGTAAGGTGCTAGCTTTGAACAAAAAAAATCTTAGGGACAGTGCCCAAGCTCTGAGTTCAAGCCCCAGACTGGTAAAAAAAAGAAAGAAAAGAAGAGATAATACCCTTTCCTCTCTGAATCTCTATGTCCCCCAAATCTGGACAGGATTGTGCTGACCTGGGCCGCATTCAGCAGGTGATTCCTGTAAGTGGAGATGATCTCCTCGTGGTTTTTCTGGGAATCCTGACAGAGAAAGAGAGAGAGGGAGAATATGAAAGTTACATAAAGGTGTATGCTTACCCTCCCCATACTCACCAAGCATAAAGATCAGGAATGTATGTGTTTTGTCTTGTTTGTGCCAGTGCTGAGGCTTGAACTCAGGACCTGTGGCATTTGTCCCTTAGCTTTTTCTGCTAAAGGCTGGCAATCTACCACTTGAGCAACCTCTACTTCTTGGAGATAAGAGTATCATGGGGCTGGGCACTGGTGGCTCAATACCTGTAATCCTAGCTACTCAGGAGGCTGAGATCTGAGGATCGCGGTTCAAAGCCAGCCCGGGCAGGAAAGACTGTGAGACTCCTATCTCCAATTAACCACCAGAAAACCGGAAGTGGCGCTGTAGCTCAAGTGGTAGAGCACTCGCCTTGAGCTGAAGAGCTGAGGGACAGGGACCAGGCCCAGAGTTCAAGCTCCATAACCAACCAAAAAAAAAAAAGTATCATGGACTTTCTTGCCCAGGCTGGCTTGGAACTGCAAACTCCTGAGTAGCTAGCTTGCAAGCATGAGCTGTGAGCACCCAGCTAGAAGCAAGAAGTTGAAGTGGTGACTTTATTAATCAGTCTCCCATGGTCGATCACTGGCTAGGCCTCACTGGTTAGGCCTCTTGTTCCTCACAGAATGTCTCCCACTTATTCATCACGTCTACCCTCCTCTCTACCCATGTCCATTTCCCACCCTCCATACCCTAGGTCACATCATACCTGCAGCTGAAGGGTAAGGCGAGCATTTTCTCCCCGGACTGCTAGGACCTCCTCGGAAAGCTGCTCCAGCTTCTTCAACAATTCCTTGATCTGAGGCCAAAAAAGAAACACGAGATCAGTGAAATCCATTCTTCCCTGCCACCAATACCACTCATGGGCAAAGTCAGCTTCCTTTTATTGGGTATTTAATGCGATATTAGCCAGGTAGGGTTTTTGTTTGTTTGTTTGCCAGTCCTAGAGCCTGAACTCAGGGTCTGGGCACTGTCCCTGAGCTTCTTTTTTTTTTTGGGGGGGGGGGTCTGGTCATGGGGCCTGAACTCTGGGCCTGGGCGCTGTCCCTCAGCTCTTCAGCTCAAGGCTAGCACTCTACCGCTTGAGCCACAGTCCCACTTCCAGCTTTTTTCTTTTTGCTTATGTGGTGCTGAGGAATCAAACCCAGGGCCTCATGCATACAAGGCAAGCGCTCTACCACTGAGCCACCTTCCCAGCCCTGTCCCTGAGCTTTTGCTCAAGGCTAGAACTCTACCACTAGAGGCACAGCGCCACTTCTGGCTTTTTCTGCTTATATGGTACTGAGGAATGGAACCCAGGGCTTCATACATGCTAGACAAGCATTTTACCACTAAGCCACATTCCCAGCCAGGTATTTTTGCACACATCTGGTGTAAACCAGCGTTTTTCTGAGAACAATACTAAAGGAACTATTAGCCATAGTTTGTAAGTCGGGAGCCTGAGTTTATTAATTTGTCTAAAGCATACAACTTAGAAGAAGGAAAATCATCATTTGAACCAAGTTGTCTTTGACTTCACAGTGCATACTATGAATTCAGTACTGCATCCTAACCACCCTTCTGGCTGCTGACAGTGATGGAGATAAGGGGCAATTGCTGGTTAATTGGAGATAAGAGTCTTTTGGATTTATCAGCCCTGCCTGGCTTTGAACCTTGATGGTCACATCTCAGCCTCCTGAAGAGCTAGGATTATAGGCATGAGCCACCAGTGCCTGGCTCATTTGTTGTTGTTTTTGGTCAGCTGTGGGCCTTGAGCTCGGGGCCTGGGCACTGTCTCTGAGTTCTTTTGCCCAAGACTAGCGTTCTATCACTTTGAGCCACAGCAGCACTTCCTGTTTTTGAGTAGTTAATTGGAAATAAGAGTCTCTCAGCGACTTTTCAGCCCTAGCTAGCTTTGAACCTCAATCCGCAGATCTCAGCCTCCTGAGTAGCTAGGATTACAGGCATGTGCCATTGGTGCCTGGCTTTTTTTTTTTTTAATCTAGAAAAGATTCCTTGTTTATTTGCTTCTCTTTACATTTTTGTTTCTTAGACTGTAAAAAGAAAGGGGAATGACAGGCTAAGCAAATGTATTGTTAATACGGACAGATACTGTGACAGTGCAAGTTTACACCATAGCTGAACACAGCAAGATTCAATGAGGACCGACACTGGTTATAACTCATTTACAAAACAACAAAAAATGATGGTGCTTAGGGGCGATACGACTTTGTTTTTGGGGTACATGGCTCACTGTGCAAACAAGTCCCTGAAGACGTCAGAGCACTCAGTAGCTCATGCTAGAATAACGTGGCAATAAAGAAATGTTGCTATTCTAGAAAATAGAGATGACGGAAATGCTAGATTTTCTTTTGTGATACTGAGGCTATTTTCTTTTTTTTTTTGGTCCGATGGGACCTGAACTCTGGGCCTGGGCGCTGTCCCTCAGCCCTTCAGCTCAAGGCTAGCGCTCTACCACTTGAGCCACAGCGCCACTTCCGGTTTTTTTTTCTGCTTATGTGGTGCTGAGGAATCGAACCCAGGGCCTCATGCATGCAAGGCAAGCGCTCTACCACTGAGCCACCTTCCCAGCCCATGAGGCTACTTTCATACACAGCTGTAACTATCTTTATTTCTGAAGGTCCTATCAGAAACATAACCTTGTTCTTATAAATCTGAAAAGTGCTATTATCTTACCTATTTCTTCCTAAAGAAATATTTTGTAACAATATTTGAAAACTGAGATGTCGCCTTGGTTCATGCCTTTAGTTTTCACAAGCCTGAGAACAGAGGATCCTGTTTGAAGCCAGCCAAGGCAGACAAATCTGAAAGACTGATATCTCCAGTAGGCACCAAAAGGCCAGATATGGAGCTGTGGCTCATGTAGTAGAGTGCCAACCTTGAGTGAAAGAGCTAAGGGACAGCCCCAAGGCACTGAGTTCAAAACAACAGAAAACAAAAACAGGGGCTGGGAAGGTGGTTCAGTGACAGAGCGCTTGCCTTGCATGCCTGAGGCCCTGGGTTTGATTCCTCAGCACCACATAAGCAAATAGAAAAAAGCCGGAAGTGGCACTGTGGCTCAAGTGGTAGAGCACTAGCCTTGAGCTGAAGAGCTGAGGGACAGTGCCCAGGCCCAGAGTTCAGGCTCCACAACCGGACCCAAAAAAAAAAAAAAAAAAAACAAATACAAAAAAAAAATAGAGAAGAAAAGAAGGAACAGTGATAGAGAAGAGATTGGTGGAACATATTGTAAATGTGTGTCAAAATGTAACAATGAAATCCCCCTCTGTATAGCTAATATAAGCTAATAAAAGTAAAGAAAAGAATCTGCCAGGCATTAGTGGCTCATGCCTGTAATTCTAGCTACTCAGGAGGCTGAGATATGAAGATCAAGGCTCAAAGCCAGCCCAAGCAAGAAAGTCTGTGACACTCTTAGCTCCAATTAGCCACCAAAAAGCCAGAAGTGGAGCTGTAGTTCAAATGGTAGAGCATTAGCCTTGAGTAAAAAAGCTTAGGGACAGTATCTAAACCCCAAGTTCAAGCCCCAAGACTGCACCAAAAAAAAACATATATATATATATATATATATATATATTTCTCATAGAAGCATGTCCAGTCAAGTCACTATCAAGTGAGAATTCTAGAAAGCAGTGGTTAACTGAGTGATGGGACTCATACCTGAAACCCTAGCTACTCAGGAAGCTGGGGTCTGGAGATTCAAAGCTAGTCAGAACAAAAACATCCAAATAACCAGTAGAAAGCAGGACTAGCGCTATGGTTCAAGCAGTAGTTCATCAACTTATCGGTGAGTCAACTTCCACACCCCAGTTCCAATCCCATTCTATTAACAACAGAAAACTGTGATCCTCAGATTGTAGCTTCTTGAGTAGCTAGGATTACAAGTGTGAGCCAACGCACTGGGCTTGATACATGTCTTTATTTATGTTGCTGTTGCTCAGTTTTCAGAGCATACTCTTTTGGTCCAGCAGGCAAGATCAGATGTAGATGCTTTTTTTTTTTTTTTTCCTTTCACTAATACTGCAGTTAATGAAGGAGTGTAAGGGTTAAAGCAAAGAAGATAGCACTTCTGTGTTTCCCATAGAACGACTCATTAAATACAGCATAGGTTTCTGAATTCCTGGCTGGTGTTTACCATGCCTCATTTTCTCTAATCTATCCTCAGAAAGAGGGAAGGAGAGAAGAGGGAAAGGAGGGAGAGAGGAAGGAACGAGAGGTGAGCAGGCTCTCACCTCCCTCAGGCTCCTACCAATGGAGCACCAGGGCTCATACCATTTCAGCCTGGCAAGAGGCCTAATGGTGTCTTTTTCTTTTCTTTCTTTCTTTTTAGTCATGGAGCTTGAACTCAGGGCCTGTGAGCTGTCTCTGAGCTTTTCTGCTCAAGGCTAGTGCTCTACCACTTTGAGCCACAGTGTCACTTTTGGTTTTCTGGTGGTTTATTGGAGATAAGAGTCTCATGGACTTTCCTGCATGTGCTGGCTTTAAATCGTGATCCTCAGAGCTCAGCCTCCTGAGTAGCTAGGATTACTGGTGTGAGCCACCAGCGCCCAGCTTACTGGTGTCATGCGTTGCTATGGTTCAGCTGACCTTCTGAGATGGCTCATGGTCTGATGAGGTTAAGTAGACACAGTTATAGTTCTCTTCTACCCTCTCTTTTAGAATGGGCTCTGTGAGTGATTTCCATTGGAAAGACAGACCAAAGTAAAGGAAAAACAACAGAAAAGATTTGGATACTAATGTTTTCTGTTGTTAATAGAATGGGATTGGAACTGGGGTGTGGAAGTTGACTCACTGATAAGTTGATGTACTACTGCTTGAACCATAGCGCTAGTCCTGCTTTCTTTGGAGGGATGCCCAAACATAATGATCAAACTTCAATGAGAGGGCTGGGAATGTGGCTTAGTGGTAGAGTGCTTGTCTAGCATGCATGAAGGCCTGGGTTCGATTCCTCAGTACTACATACACAGAAAAGGCTGCAAGTAGAGCTGTGGCTCAAGTGGTAGAGTGCTAGCCTTGAGCAAAAGAAGCTGAGGGACAGTACCCAGGCCCTGAGTTCAAGCCCCAGGACTAGCAGAAAAGAAAAGTTCAATGAGCAGCACCAGTCCTGAGCCCAAGTGGAACACCAAGAGTGATTCAATGTGTCAAGTTTGAGGACAAAAAAAAAAAAAAACACTTATCCTAGAACAATTTTAACTCAAACCTTTCCATTTGTTAAATACACCCCTGATGTCAAACAGCTCGGGGTGCCTGCCCTCCCCCCCCCTTTTTTTTTGGTTGGTCATAAGGCATGCTGTCCTTCAGCTCAAGGCTAGCGCTCCACCACTTTGGGCCACAACACCACTTCTGGTTTTCTGGTGGTTCATAGAGATAGTCTCACAGACTTTCCTGCCTGGGCTGGCTTTGAACCATGATCCTCAGATCTCAGCCTCCTGAGTAGCTAGGATTACAGGCGTGAGCCTTGGGGGCCCAGCTCGGGGTGTCTCTCTTTGAGCACCCACACTTCCGTTCTGCTTGCTTGCTTACTCCATGGTTTTCTTACCATTGTGACTTGGCTGGAAATTCGTATTTGGCTAAAACCCTGGGTGCAGGGTCCCTAGTTCCGGAGAGAACTTTCACGAACCCTCACCTGGAACCGGTGACCCTCTCTCCCTTTGTCCTTCTAGCTCCCTCCTTCCCTTCTTTCTTTCCTTCCTTCCTTCCTCCCTCCCTTCCCCTCCCTTCCCCCTCTCCAGCCTTTCCTCCCTATCCCCCTCCTCCTCCCTTTCCCGGTTCCTCAGTTTCCCCTCCAGCTCGCAAGCGATTGCAGCTGAGTGGGGCGTGGAAGCCGCCAAACCCAGGCGCACCCCACCCGCCGCTCCTCCGAGCAGCCGGTGGAAGGGCTCGTGGAGGGGTGGGCTCCCACCTTGGCCTCCTTGTCTCGGGCGGCGGCGGCGAGGCGCTCGGTCCGGTCGTCCAGGCGCCAGGCGCGGTGCTCCAG